GCTTTAAATCTCCTCGGCCGCTGTGCATAGCGTGCCGATTGAGGAGGAATATAACCAACGATCGAACCTGATGATTCTGCCTGCTGAACTACTTTTACCCGATAACATTACTCTACCCGCCCCCGCAATGCTTGACAGCGGAGCTGAGGGGAAGGCCTTTATCGACAGAAGCTGGGCCGAGAACCATGACCTAAGAATGCACCGACTGACACACCCGATTACGATCGAGGTGTTCGATGGCCGCCCCGCAGAGAGCGGCCAGATCACACACTATATCCGCAGCCAGATGCGGATAAACGACCACGAACAGAAGAATATAATGTTATACGTAACCTAACTTGGAAGCTACCCGATCGTGCTTGGGATGCCTTAGTTAAAATAACACGACCCTCTCGTTAGCTTTAGAAGCCACATACTACGCTTTAATAGCCCGTACTGCTAACAGCACTGTAACATACCCGGACTTTCGTTAAAAGTCATAGCTATGCATACCGTTCCTGCGAAAATCCGCTAGTATCTAAAGCCCGCCCCCGGACCACTAAGCTAACGCGATATCTTTCTAGTATCGTTAAGAGCCGTATCTATGTATGCCCGAAGGAGCGATGTGAGGCTATTCGCTATCACTATAGCCTAGATCGAAGAGATGATTATAGAACCTACCGAACAAGAACCTGCCTTGCCCCTAGAGATCGCCGAGTTCGCTGACGTGTTCTCGCCTAAAGAAGCTGATAAACTACCGCCGCACCGACCTGGAGACCACCATATCTAGTTGAAAGAGGGAAGCATACTACCGTTTAGACCCTTATATAGGATGTCTCGAGAGGAACTAAAGACCCTAAAGGAGTGGTTAGAGGAGAACCTACGAAAAGGATTTATTCGACTAAGCTCCTCCTTTGTGGCGTCCCTTGTGTTATTCGTTAAGAAGAACGATAGCGGACTACGCTTCTGTGTCGATTACCGCGCTCTAAATAACGTTACTATTAAAGACCGATACCCGCTACTATTGATTAAGGAATCCCTGAATAACCTGGCTGGTATGCGATATTTCTCGAAGATCGATATTATCTCTGCGTTTAATAATATCCGGATGCGCGCAAGGGAAGAGTACTTGACCGCCTTCCGCACTCGATTTGGACTATACGAGTCGCTTGTTATGCTATTTGGAATGACTGGAGCCCCTATAACCTTCCAGAGGTATATTAATAACGTACTGAGAGAATACCTTGATGTTTTCTGTACCGCCTACTTAGACGATATCTTGATCTATAGCTGAATGAGGTCCGAATACGAAGAATACCTACGAATAGTCCTAAAAGCCCTGAGGAACGCTAGGCTATATGCTAAGATATTAAAGTGCGAATTCTTCGTGACCGAGATGAAATTCCTAGGCTTGATTATCGGCCGAGAGGGAATCCGAATAGACCCTGAGAAAGTCCGGACCGTGAGAGACTAGAAGACGCTAACTTACGTTACCGATGTGCAAGCCTTTCTGGGTTTCGGTAATTTCTACCGGAGATTTATCCGGGACTACTCGAAGATCACCGCACCCTTGAACCGCTTGACTAGAAAGGGAGTCTCGTTTTATTAGATTACTAACTGCCGTAATGCCTTCGAAGGCCTGAAAACCGCTTTTAGTACCGCCCCGATACTAGCCCCGTTTAACTAGGAAAAGAATGTTATCCTAGAGACAGACGCCTCCGACTATGTCTCCGCTAGGGTGCTATCCTAGGTAGGGGATAATAGGATACTACGACTTGTTGCCTTCTTCTCGAAGAAGTATACTACTACTGAGTGTAATTACGAGATCTACGATAAAGAATTGATAGCTATAATTCGCTACTTCGAGGAATGGCGCCCGGAGTTAGAGGGAGCCTCTTTACCGATTAAAGTAATCACCGACCACCGTAACCTAGAGTACTTCACTATAACGAAGCTACTAAACCGAAGACAAGCCCGTTAGTCTAAGTTCCTATCACGATTTAACTTTCAGATTACCTACCGACCCGGGAAGTAAGGTGCTAAGCCCGACGCTTTAACTAGGAGGTTAGAGGATCTCCTAAAGGAGGGGGATAAACGCCTTCTCTACTAGAGCCAGATAGTACTAAAGAGAGAGAACCTGGACCCGAGGGTAAGGTTCCACGCCGCTCGCTTGCTAACCGAACTTCCTGCCGACTTATCCGACCTCTTTGATAAAGGCTATGCCGCTGATGAAATCCTGGAATCTATTTAAGAAGCGATCCGCAAAGGCAAGCGACGCTATGCCCGTATCACACTATCTGAGTGCACCGAGAACCATAACCGCCTATACTTCCGAGACCGCTTGTACGTCCCTGACCACGACGAACTAAAGGCTGAACTGCTCCGCCGCTGTCATGAGTCACCCGTTGCCGGACACCCTGGACGAGCCCGCACCTACGATATCCTATCCAGAAGTTACTTCTGGCTAGGCATGCTGGCATACGTGGAAAGATGGATTAAGAACTGTCACACCTACCGCCGGTCTAACCCGTCCCGAGACGCCTACTAAGGAGTCCTGAAGCCGCTACCGATCCCCGAACGCGCCTGGAGAGACGTGTTAATGGACTTTATTACATACCTACCTCCGAGCCAGGGATACGACGCAATCCTCGTTATAGTAGACCGTCTAACGAAGATAAGACACTTGATACCCTGCAAAGCAACCTGCGATTCGGCTGAGACTGCCCGTCTATACCTACACTATGTCTGGAAGCTACACGGCCTACCATTAACTATTGTATCCGACCGAGGCCCCTAGTTTGTTTCTGAGTTCTGGAAGAGCTTGAACCGACAGCTATAGATCAAGAGCCTATTATCAACCGCTGTATACCTATAAACGGACGGCCAGACTGAACGCTTTAATGCTATCCTGGAACAATACCTGCGATCCTACGTATCTTATCTGCAAGACGACTGGTCTACCTGGCTCCCGCTAGCTGAATTCGCTACTAACTCCTAGAAATCCGAGACTACTGGCATGTCGCCGTTCTTTGCTAACTACGGCTCCCACCCCCGGATGGGGTTCGAACCAGATATCCCTACCGCTAATACTCCCGCCTCCCGGGACGCAGAAAGCTTTGTTCGCAAGATGAAGCAGATCAATAAACACCTACAGTCCGAATCAACCGCCGCCTAAGCCCGCTACGAAGACCAAGCGAACCAGAACCGCCGACCTGCCCGCACGTATCGTACTAGAGACTTAGTCTGGCTGGACGCCCGAAACTTACGAACCCTGCGGCCGTAGAAGAAACTAGACTAGAAGAATATCGGCCCCTTAAAGGTCGAGAAGGCCGTGTCGCTGTACGCCTACAAACTAGAACTACCTGTAAGTATAAGAGTATACCTTATGTTCTACGTTAACCTACTCCGACCCGTTACTAATAACCCCTATCCCGGACAACGTATCGCACCCCCGCCGCCTATTGAAGTTAATGGGGCTGAAGAGTTTGTGGTACAAGAGATAGTAGATTCCCGCTGGGAACGAAGAGGCCGAGGTAACCCACGATTGCGGTATACTGTAAAGTGGGTTGGGTATGATGATCCGACCGAAGAACCCGCAGAGTATCTGGAGAACGCGCAACAGATCGTCGCCAACTACCACCGCCGATATCCCGATAAACCTGGTCCTTGATGAATACTCGCAGGAGCTCGCCCTTGAAAGGGGGGCGTATTGTCACAGCTGGTCAAGAGCGGGGACCCACCCTGCACCTGGCAGTCACGTGAACTCGCGCCTGCCTTTGCATTTTGTCGCGATCCCGACCGTCTTCTGTTGTAGCTCTTCGAGCTACGTCTTGTACATAGAGCCTGCCCTACCTGAGGAGTGCCTATCCGTAGCAATAGACCAGATCAGCCTGACCGAGTGTTCCCCGTCCTACCTGCCGACCGACCCCCCCTGACAGTTGGGTCGGGCTGCGGCGGTGACGAAGACACCGGGAGAGATATGGTGCGTGGGAAGGGGATAGAGAATAGTATATATGCATAAATCCGTAGAATAGGTTTAGTTACGAGAGGGGAAAGATAGATAGCTTTTTCGTATCGCTCCTTCTCTTACGCTTATGCTAATGCGATGAGGTCGGGATCTATCCTGGCGTGGTCACGGATACATGGATCCTCTAGAGATGTGGTAGGATACAGGGGTATTTAGGGGTAGCAGGGGTGGGCCTGTCTTGTGAAAGGAGGAGAAGCGTGTGTGATTGGGTGGGAGGGGGCAGGGGTTGCCTTTTCGCACGCAAAGGGGCGAGGGAATACTAACCCCGTAGGAGCGCTCATCAAGCGCTCCTATATATCTTGGTAGGACCGCTTCAGCTTCATAACGTGCCAGGTGGAGGTTTGCGTCTGGTTAATCCGACCAAGCCGGCCAAAGATCTAATCCATAGTCCTTGGGGATGGATGATAGGCGAGAATAACCCCGCGATGGCATTGCTTGTGGAGATCCACGCCGAAAGCTAGCGTGTTAATGTTCGCGACAATCACTCGAATGTTGCTGTTCCGGTCGTTAAAGTCCTGAATAACCTCGCGACGATCCCGGCTCGAGTCCATAGACCGAATCGTGCCAACTTCGATACCAGCGATAGCAAGGATAAGGGATACAAGCCTGGCAAATAGTTAGTAAATAGGACTATTTTAGAACCCGGGTTATAGAAAAGGTAAAACCCGGTTTATAAAACGAGGGGAAATACTTACTACTACACCCAAGGGGTGTCGACATAGATAACAATACGCTCATCGTTCGTCAAGACATAGTGGGTGATAAGCTTGAGTGTGCGGACCATAATGGGATTCGTGGTCAGGTACCACTTGATCATGCTAGTCGGCCCGTCGGGCGTGGATATGTTTAGATCTTCTCGGGCCGCCATGAAGAAGTAATCCCATACGCCGAGTATATACCTCTTCGTCAAGGCTTAGACGTGGACGACGCCGGCGGGGGGGACCTCTTTACCCTTGTAGGTAGATCGGTTCTTGGCTAACTACTTGATAGTGGATTACACCGTCTCGCCGACGCGTGCCGTCTCCTCCGGCGCGACCAGGGCCGTCACCAACGCCTTATTCGCCACAGCCGTGATATTGTGGGTGTCGTGGGCGCCCAGAAACAACAGTCGCTGTGTGCCGAAGTTGAGCTTGCCAAAGCCGCCTGGGCGGTCGCCTGGCCCCTTCGCGTAGCCCGACGCGGAGGCGCCCGCCGCCGCCTGGTTAACGTCGCTATTGCCCTCGATAGCGTTAAGGATCGACTTCGTAAAGCTAGTGAGACGGCTGTGGTTGCGGGCGTTGTGGCCCACCTCCTCCGTCATGATCACGGTCGGGGGGATATCCACACCCAGGTAGGTGTCTAACCCGTCGGGCAGGATAAGGTGGGAGCTCAGAGTGCGAGACGTGGATACCTAGTTGAGGACATGCTTCGTGACAAATCGTCCGAAGACGACCTCCCAGTCCATCTCCTGGCCGAGTGCGTGATAGCTCTCCGGGTCTAGCATCCAGAGGCGTATGCCGTCGCGATCGTAGCACCGCTCCATATGCGCCAGCAGCGACGACTTGTTGTCGCTCTGGTGGAACAGGCCCTAGGCCTCGTACTTCTGGTCACCGAGAAAGATTGCGGTGGTCGGCTCCTTAGGGTCGTACGATAGGTGATACATGGCCAGGCCTATCGTGAGCTCGCCGCGCCACGCGTTAGGCTCGTCGTCCTTGGCGTGCTCGCGCGTCGCCATCCCCTAGCATATATCGAGGAGACCTATTAAGTCTTTTAGCGAGGTATGGAGGGGCGTCGCTGTGCACCATAGCACATACTCCTTCTACAGCATCAGCGTCGTCTGCTAGAAGGCCGACGTGGTGTTACGGAGGGTATGCGCCTCGTCCAAGACGACCCAACCAAACCGCGCCTTCTTCATATCGTCGCTCGCGAACTTATATAACAGTATGACAGCCTGCGCCTTGTCCTCATTAGTCTCGACGTGCCAGGCCTCGCGTCGCTCGAGGTTATCTAGGTTAAAAGTCGGGAGGATGGCCGGCCTAGAGTGCTGGCCCTACTCCTCGCGCAAATCCGCTAGCGTGGGCAGGCTCGAATACGACGACCCCTCCTCGAACGCCGCTAGCTACTTCAGTGTCCTAAAGACTCGCGTGTGGAATATATAGTATATCGACGAGATCGTTATGCGCCCAGTGCTAGGCAGGAACTTGGCCTTCTCTAACTTAGCCATTTCCCGCCCGATATCCTTGGCCCCAATGACCGACGACTTTGCGATGTCGGGATACGCCTTTGCACCGTAGAAGAGATGTATACGTGCGTTAGGAGTGAACTTCCTAAAGTCGGCATAGGCCTGTGCTATGGTGGCGACCGGCGTGAGGAGGAGATTCGGGCGAAAGACGGGGAGCCCTATCTCGAGACACGCCTCCTCGGATGGCAGCTCTATCGCCTCTGGCGTCTTTACCGCACGAAGCCAGGTCTTAAAATCAACTATCTGCCCAGTCGCCTTAGCCGTCTCCGCGTCGTACTCGTCTTAGAAGGTCTTTTGCGCCCACGGGAGGATCTTCTTCTAGAAAACCTCCTCTTGCACCCGAACATATCCTTCAATAGCGCTCGCGACTGTAGCCGTCTTGCCCGAACCTATCGTGTTAGCGAGCACAGAGAGGCTGTGCCCCTGGATCGATCGATCGGCAATAAAGTGCAAATCTAGGAGTAGTTAGCAAGGGTATTTTAGAAACTGGGTTTTAGAAGAAGAAAAAAGAGCCTATTATAGAAACCAGGTTATAAAATAGAATAAAGCCGTTCTATAACCCAGTTTCTAAAACAATTAACTATACGTACCGGCAACTTAATAAGGCTTAAGAGGGACTTCGTTGCTGCCCTGGTGCATGCGTAATTAGCGGTCAATCTTATAGCGGCGACAGATAGCCAAGAAATCCGGATCGGGCTTGGGATAATATTCGCGAAGGAAGTTATCGAGCCAGAAGCTTTATCGATACTGCTTGTCGACCCTATCGGCGTCTGCCTGGTTCTTGGGTTAACCATCGTCCTAGCAGACGATATCCTTGTACACGGACGATACTCTGACTAGTTCTAAGAAATAATCGACGCTCGCCGTGGTGTCCGCGCTAGAGAATATCGCCTTTGTCCTCGAAGTCTGGTTTATAGTCCTAAACACCTCTATATCCGTGTGCATTACCTTCGCACCCGACACTATAGAGCTTAGCGTTAGCTTATTCAGGGCCTTAAAAGGCTCGAGGCCCCGCGACTCGAACCGTGCCTTGAGGTCTCGCTTTGGCCAGGCAGACGTCCCAAATATCACCACCTTATTCTAGAACTCCATCGTAGTATCTACGGGCACTTGCTCCTCCAGGACCGGCCTGGGGACCGCCTGGGGGCAGTGGAATTCCTCGTCGATGTTTGTCGGCGGCTCCCACGCAGACTCGACGCCGCGGAGTGCCAATTCGAGGCACGCAGAGTCCCGCGCAACGGCCTATTCAGGCGTGTCCTCCATGCGCTAAGCATCCTCCGTCATCTCCTTCTTGTGTGGGTGTGCGTGGCCGTCGTATCGCGCCGTGCTCCTACTGTGGACTATATTAACGCAGCGCTTCGTGGGATCGAGCTATCGAAACATCGCTATCTGCGTAATTATCACGCAAGAGTATAAGTCATCCCCCGAATACTTATATAAAAACATCTTAGGCTACTTGTCCTCGGGTACGTGGGTTAGGTAGCTAGGGATAGGGAAGCGTGCCCTATTGCGTGAATACATAACGTCGGGGCCAGGAAGTTGCTTCTGGGCGAAGATTATGACCTAAGCGGCTATTAATAATATTGTCTTTTGGAGGTCGAGCGCGCCATACGTCTCCCCGTGGCTCTGGTCGACCTACATAAGGAACGCGGGTCGAATTATCGTCGTTGTTATAAGCTCGATGAACTAGAACACGTCCCCCTCTAACTTGCCAATGATACCCGACGAAGCACTAAGCGGCGCCTCGTCCTCCGTGCCGTGCTCTATCGCCGTCTACTGCATTAGCCTGGCCTTGGCTGCGAATTCCGCTATGCTAGCCGCGTTTGTGAAAAAAGGGTCCGACGACTAGTAGGAGTCCTACTCCTTCCTCGTATTATCTCGCTCTATTATCTTACCAGCCCCGAGGGACGTGACCTTCTTCTTAGCGTCTTTGAACCACTCGAGATATAGGTTGAGGATGTCGTATACTACCAAGCACATTAGTACACAGATTTTAAGGCTATTTTAGAACCTGGTTTATAGAAGAATATAAACTGGTTTATAAAAGCATAACTTACCTTAGGTGTCCAGAAACAGGATTAATATATTATAGTCTTAGAACAGCAGCGCTTTAACATACGCACCGGTGGCCGAGCCATACGGGTCGACTTAGATAGTATAGAAGATTTCCTTCTAGCTATGCTCTTTTAGAGCTTTTTGCGCCCGCGCCTCCACCTACGTGATCGTCGGGAGCTTTATATTAACTTCTGGGAAGTGGATGCCAAAGTCAGCGGTGCCAGAGTCCGTTGGCACGTACTTTGGCCGCGTGACCCAGACCACGCGATGGGAGCCGATGATGGTTTGCTCTAGGTCGTCCTCTGCTCGATGCCGCTTGCGCCCAGCAGGGCGCGGCTTGTCGTTAGTGCTCGTGGTCTGTACCGCCGTGTCGGGCTCTGGCGTGCGTGGATCGTGATTTGTGGACGACTGGCCACGGCCGCGGCCGCGGCCGCGTCGACCATTGCCTCGCGCCATGGTCGGATAGCGTGGGTTAGACGGCACAGGCGTGTACTAGTAGACTGTGATTATATGGGGGCTGTGTTATTAATTATTAGTAAAATATGGTGAGGGGCGGCGTTTTAAAACCCGGGATGTAGAAAAGTGAATATTTGGAAGAGGAAGAAGGTTTAAGCTATAGGGCCCGGGGGAAAAGATATATATAGGTGGGTCCGTGCACGGCGGAAAAACCATAGCCCGCTGTTCCGGTGCTTCTATAAACTGGAATCTAAAACGGCCTGTTGGAATAAGTGAATAGCGCTCTTGTACGTAGCTGGTTATTGTTCTGGTGATACGGTTGTAAGAATATCTGATGTAACGCGATTGGAAAAGTGGAAATCGTATTTAGGCACTAGGGGCGTTTTATAAACTAGGTTTTAGAATAATAGGCGTAGAGCTAATCGTATTATATTATACGTACTATAAATATCGACTATACGGGTATACGGGCAAAGGGCTATTAATTTATTCTAGGAGACTTTATATTCTAGGTTTTAAAATACTCTTAGAAGTATAATAAAATCAGTTCTGATTACGGGGGGTATAGAGTGGGGAACCTTGGCTAGATCCGGGCCGTCCCGTGATAGATCGAGGTAAGGGTGGGTTAGGTGGGTGACGGGCCTTGAATACGCGATCGGTGTAGAGAAGCGGTGTTAGTTATATGTGGGAGAGTATTCATACGCGTCGAGAGTATATAGGCGTATCCTCGGTAGCTATGGTCTAGATCTAGTGTGGGATACGATAGAGGTTGTTTAGTGTGTAGTCTATGTTAGAGTCTATGCGATTATGTATTAGTTCTTATACGTTTGTTTGCTAGGTAAAGATATTAATAGAGGGGACGCTATATATTATCTATCGGGGAGCTCTATAGTAGAACGCTTTATTATTTTATCTTTATTTTATAATATTATTCGGAATATATCTACGAGTATCTTATAGTTTAGAAGCCTGGCTCTAGCGTAGCCGATAGATCGTTCCTCGGGGGGGCGGGGGCGGGCACGGGCGAATGACGGCTTAACTAGATGATAGATCGTATGATAGACGGCTTGATTCTTGGAGGGCGAATCACTAGTTTCACGCGCTAGCTGCTGGTACGAGGGATAGTTCTCGTATAATGCTTGTCTATTCGCTAGTTAGGTAAGGTCAAGACGTATCCTAGATACTTAGATAGAAGCACGAGAGGTCTCTGAGGGAGCGTTATATAGTTATAGTATGAAAGACAAAGAGGCTGAGGGTTTGATACGAGGTCTCGCTATATATAACGCAGCGGCGGGCGGGCTATGCTTCTATCTCGCGGAGTAGGACGTCGGCTACCCGCGCCGCCTGAACGCAGGGAGCCCCGCCGAGCTCGCTCGACTCGCCGAGCCAGTGTATATAGTTGTCGATACTGCGAGAGGGCCCCGTTTGTACTTAAGAGAGAGCCTAAGAGGACCACTCGTCGGCCTAGATCCTGTGCTATAGCCTATGCCGTTCCCTATACCTCACGAGGGGGCCTCGATCTTAAAGTAAGCGAGCGACTGGCTCGCGGTTGAGAAACTCTGAGCAAAGTATCTATTGATTAGCCCCCTCTCCCAGGCTATATAAGGACGTATGCCAAGCTTATAGGTTAATATATGGTTAAGAATTAGTGCCTATCGGGTCGTTATATACCCATAGACGCTATATCGAAATACCGTGAAGACGCGGAGGCCGGGGATCGCCGTAATCTTTTCGCGAGGCTGCGTACGATCTTTAAGCGGTGTGAGCTAGAGCGTATTAAATCGTTAGAGATAAGCCTTGTAAGTAAGACCTTTAATACGGTGTTTCTGGTTTAGGTGGTCATATAGATGCTTAGCCCCCGGGCTGAGAGCGGACCCGCACGCGACGTATATCAGAATCCGATGCTCTGTATTATATATGAATCCTGGGGGAAGCTGTGCCGTTACTGCGTCGGGCTTCGGCCGGCCGTGGCTGGTAGCGTGATCTACGGTAGCCACCTCCCGCTCCTCTCGTGTTACTAGTGGCGTTTGATGTCGGGATAGTATCCTTTATCTTTTCCTCCGTCGCGGTGTGCTTACTAGAGCCTGGGGTGGAGTATTATTCCCTGGTCCGTCCCCCTCTGCCCTAGGATAGCGTTTGTGGTATTCTTGGTTCCAATCCTGCCATGAAGCGGACAGCTGGCGGTACATTTCTAGGAGCTCGGCCTAGAGTCGGGTCGGGAGGGCGGTGTCAATTGCGTAGCCGGTCAGCAGCATGCGCGGGCGGTGACCAACGCCAGCCGCGAGGACTCGAGTCGGATCGCTCCCTTCGCTCGGGTTATAGTAGTTCCTTTTCTTAATTAGATCCCGAATATACCGCTTTGCGATGGCGATCGATGCCTGGCGATATAACGAGATTGTCTAAGGTGTGTCCAGAGCTCGCGTTAGGTCGCGGAGAGCCTCCGTTGCTTATATAGGGGATATATACCTCCCCTTATGCTTAGGGTTAGGGAAGAGAAACTCGTTACTATAGTAGTGCGGTGCCTCGAGTTACGTTGCGAGGAAATCCATAAAGGGGCGGATATATGCCAGGTAGATCACAAAGGCTATGCCAAGCGCGTGTGGTAGATACCGGACAATATAGAACGCGTGGTTAGTTAAGGCGCGGGCTTTATTATAGCTGATGATAATCATAACCTATCCCTCGCGGACGTAGACGTTGCGGACCGCGAGCTTGGTGTTTTCCAAGCGGACACTGGTGGTTTCTGTCGCCCGTCCTAGGAGCCCGGATGTGATATAGAAGGCAGAGAAGCCTAGAGTGGATATCTTGGCCCCTGACTCGAGGTACGCTAGGCACGGTCCCGGTAGCCAGTGGCCGGCGTCGGCCAATGCTCGACCGCGGAACGTAGACGACCAAGCACGACGGGCCATGGCCTTGTATATCCCTGATAGTCGGTTCTCCGGGTGCTCGAGGAAGCTCCATCCAGGCGTCAGACAGGTCAGATCGTCATAAATAGCAGAAAGGTCGATAGCAGGATCCCAGCCAAGCATAAGCTCGGCTACAAGATCCCGCACCTACGTGATCGCTGCCTAGTATGTCGCGGTAAACTCGGATAATCGTATTACTTTATGGTTCCCAATCGTAAACGACTCCCCGTCGGGGGCCCAGGTAAGCGTCCCCGGCGCCCCCTCCTTACGGACAATACTCTTCCCGAAGGCTTTAAGCTCGATAAGCTCGGCCAGCGGTGAGTAGCACCCACGAAGCATATACTTCGTTCGGATCGCCTCTAGGCGCTGCGGGTGTGACGGATACGTCGCCCTAGACGGCCAGCGGTACACGAG